ACACGGTTGTTGATGTCCTCTGCCCCATTGGTAAAGCGAAAACGCAGACGAGACGCAACTCTGCTTGGTTCGTGGTCTGAGGATTGAATCCGCTTTACAAAATGCTGTTGAGGCCTTCTTCAACAAGCACGATGTTGCCGCGCAAGGTCAAGTAGAGTACATGGAGCGGATCTCGAGACGTCATGGTCGTGGTTCCCCAGGTTTGGTAGTCGACCAGGCTAAGTGAAACTGCTGAGTGAGTTTCTTGCTACCTACCGAGAGGTAAAACTAGGCTCCGATCGTTCCACAGGAACCAAGAAGCCGGTAGTGGATGTCAGCGCCAACATCCAATGGATTCGCGACCCGGCCGATGGCCGACGGCCATTGGTGGCCGCAAACCTCGCAATCTCAGTTAACCGTTGTACGTCCTTCTCCCTATGGTATTATGTATCGATACTAGCTGCAACGTGAATGGAGGCCGCTGGGTGTTAGCAACCGGCGACGGCAACCCCTCAACAAAGAGAGATTGGCGAAAGCTCCGCCACCTGATAAATGCCCGCATACCATCAGTGCCCTTTCGCTGAAGCATATTCGCAAGTGTCGTTAGCCGCCCAATAGCCATAAAAAGGATACGGTGGTCGGGAAAGGGTTGCCTCCGACTAAGAAGCAAAGGTCGTGATTCTCGAGCCCTGTCTATAATCTAGAGTGGATCAAGAGGCCCTAACCAATTCGGCCATTTTTTATCTCATTTCTTCATCTACTCCCAAGTATTTGAACTGCTGCGTGGAGTTTGATTCACGCCAGGGCTTCTTGGCAGATCGGTCAGTTGATGCCTTCTCGAATGCATCCAGCCGGAGGTCGGCGGCGACAACCTTCGGCGCAGAGGCCGTGACCGCTACCGGCTAAGTCGATCGAGGACAGTCCAAGTAGAGTCGTCGGATCCCCCAGCTGAACCTTTTGTTACAGGCGATGCGACTTCTGAGACTCATTCCTGGGTCACAAATGCGATTGAGATCTTTGCTATG